TATATCCTGATTTTGGATCCCCTCCCTTTACTCCTCCCAGGTCTTCCCTATCTCTCTTCCTCTTTCTGTATCTCATTAGAAAACAAATAGGTTTCTAATAAATAATAATATAATATAATATAATATAATATAATATAATATAATATAGTATAGTATAGTATAGTATAGTATAGTATAATATAATATAATATAATATAATATAATATAATATAATATAATATAATATAATATAATATAATATAGTATAGTATAATATAATGATAAAAGAAAAGCAAACACATTGGAATAGGACAAAACAAGCAAACAGAAGAAAAAGAGCCCAAGAAAAGAAACAAGAAACATATAGATGCAGAGAACCACTAGTTTGCTCACTCAAGAATCCTATAAAAACACTAAATTGATGCCAGGCAGTGGTGGTGCACGCCTTTAATTCCAGTACTTAGGAGGCTGAAGCAGACAGATCTTTGAGTTCAAGGCCAGCCTTGTCTATAGAGTGACTTCCAGGACAGCCAAGGCTACACAGAGAAACCCTGTCTCAAACAAACAAACAACTAAAACCCACCATCACTACTACCATAAAACCCCACTAAACTGAAAACTGTAATACATGGTCAAAGGACCTGTAGGGTTAAAACGGAGATAAAGACATAAATAAAATAAAATAAACCCTGATACAATATTATGAGACAAGGGACCTCCAATGATGCCACTGAGTTTGTTTTCTGTTGGCTACCTACTTCTGGGCATGCAAATCTACCCTGAAGAGTAGTTTTTTTCTCTAGTGCGACTCTTTTGAAGGAAACTAATTTTTCACTTGCAAGTGATTATCAATTGTAGATTGCTTTTTATTGTTGTTGTTTTTAGGGATGGGGGCATGTGTCCACTTCTCCTTTCAGCTCTAGGACTCTGTCTGGGGCAGGCGTGTGCAAACCCTGTGCTTGTTGCTTCAGTCTCTGTTGAGTTCATATGTGTGTCTATCTTGTTGATTTAGAGTGTCTTGTTTCCTTGTTGTCATCCATCCCTTCTGGCTCTTACACCCTTCCTGACTTTTCTTCTGCATAATTTCCTGAGCCCTGGGGAGGGGGGAGGAACTGATGGAGACAACCCATTTAGGGCTGAATGTTCCAAGGTCTCTCACTCTCTGCCTATTGTCTGAGTGTGGGTCCTTTGTATTTGTTCTTATCTGCTACAGGAGGAAACATCTCTGATGATGGGTGACTAAGGCACTGATCTAAGAGTATAACAGAATGTCATTAGGAGTCATTCTCTTGTGGTACTCTTTTAGCAGAACAGAAATATTTGGTTTTTACCCTAGATCCCTGGGCTTTCTAGTCTCAGGTTCTTGTTCATCCAAGCAGTGTGTAGGTTCCATCTCAGGAAGCGGGCCTTAAGTCAAATCACATATTGGTTAGTTACACCCATAAGTTTTTTTTTGTCACCATTGCACTAGCTTATCTTGCAGGCAGGACACCATTGTAGATCAAAGAGTTTGTAGTTGTGTTGGTGTTTATCTTTCTATTTTGGTAGCACAGACTACTTCCTGTACCAAAGATGCTAGCTTGCAGGGGTGAAGTCTCTGTGTAGGCACCATCTCAACTTTACCATGTTCAATGAGTTGTGTAGGTGTTGTCTTCAGCAATAGGGCCTTGCCATCAATTTGTGGAGAACAACCCACCCTGATAACAACCTGGAGCTTTAGGGGTCCCATTGGACCCTTTTGACAAACAACTCAATTAGCTGTAACCCATTCTCAGTACTGGAAGGTTTTTTCCCCCTTTTTCTTTTCTTTTTTTTTTTTTTTTAAATTTAGTCACTTTACATCCCCATTGCATCCCCCCTCCCTCTTTTCTCCTGGCCTCACCCTCCCACTCTGTTCTTCCTTTCCCCATCCCCCTTCTCAACAAAGGGGAGCCCCTTTCCCCACCAACCAGCCCTGGCACATCAAGTCACATCAGGACTAAGCACATCCTCTTCCACTAAAGCCCAACAAGGCAGCCCAGCTAGGGGAAAGCGATCAAAAGTAGGCAAGAGAGTACATGTCAGAGACAGTCCCCACACTGTTTATTAGAGGACCCTCATGAAGACCAAGCTGCCTATCAGCTCATATGTGTAGGAGACCTTGGTCCTGAAACACATGTTAAATCTTTGGTTGGTGGTTCAGTCTCTGTGAGCCCCTATTATTCTTGGTTAGTTGACTTTGTTGGTCTTCTTATGGAGTTCTTGTCTCATCCGGGTCCCTATATCCTTCCCCAAACTCTTCCACAAGACTCCTTGAGCTCTGCCTAATGTGGGTCTAATCTCTGCATCTGTTTTGATATGCTGCTGTGTGGAGCCTCTCAGAGGACAGTTATGCTAGTCTCCTGTCTGCAAGCATAGCAGAGTATCATTAATAGTGTCAAGTCTTGGTTGTCACTGGGTGGGTTTCAAGTTGGGCCAGTAATTATACTGGAAACAATGTCCAGTTTTAAGTAACTAAGATCCAAAATGCCTGGACACAGCTGTAAGACATATTTTCTTAATTAAATCATTTGAAGTATGAAGTCCCAGATCTTTAAGGTGGGAAGATATATCTTTACTCCAGAACTTTTTATTTATTTTTTATTTATTGTTTTGACAGGGCCTCTCTACATAGTCCTAGCTGTCCTAGAACTCACTATACAGACCAGGTTGGCCTTGAACTCACAGAGCTACTCCTGCTTCTGCCTCCCAAGTTCTGGAATTAAGGCCTTCATCAGCATACCTGGATTCTCCAGATACTCTCAAAAGATCAGGAGTAAAGGAAGATCCACTTTTAGCCTGGACCACACCTCCTTCTGGAAGCTTCTACAGAGGACATCAAAGAAGGAAGCTTGCTCTCCCTTTGCTTGCTTGCTCTTGTTTTTGCTACTAAGTTCATTTCTTCAAAATTGGCATTAGAGCCTACTTCTTCAGGATATGGCATATACTGAAGACAAGCTGAGACTTGTCTCAGTACATGGGATGATAACTACTTCATTCTTGAACTTTGGGTTGTTGACAGTCATTGTTGAATTAGCTGGACCATAATCTGGAGGGAGTGGTATCTTTTTTATAGGCTTTATTTCTATATTTATATGAATATTTTTTGAGAATTAGCTTTTCAAGTGTTTCCACATTTTACATGTAAGTGTGAAAAAACAGGAGGGGTTTTCTATACATACTGCATAATCCTTCCATATTAAGGTTGTAAATATTTCTTTATGCACAGTGTCTTTTTAAATGATGTTAGTGTCTCTGTATTTGTTTCGTGGGAGTGGAACCCATGCTTTTCCCATGCTTGAACAAGCAGTGCACCGTGAGCTACATTCCCACCCCCAGATTATTAGTAACTTCTAATCCATAAAGTTTTCACTGAGATAACACTGACTGTGACTTCAGTGTCATAAGCAAGAAATCATTGCCAAATTCCAAACCATAAATGTTTCTTTGATTTTTCGAAGGTTTTTATAGCTTTAGTCCTTATATTTATGCCTTTTGTCCAACTTGAGTTATATTTTGCATATGGGTAGTGGTGCTGAGTAAGCAACTAACTTCATTGTTTGATTATGGATTATGTTATGTTTTCCCCAATAGACTTTATTTAAAACACTGTCCTCCCCTATTGGATGGTCATGACAGCTTGCTTAAAATAGTTTAACTATGTATGGGAGGGTTAATTTGGGACACTCTATTTTATTTCATTGGCCTATGTGTCTGTAATTATATTGATTATGCTGTTATGATTGCTATAGTATTGTATTGGTTTGAGATTATGAAGTTTGAGACTTCTAGTTTGATTGCTCTGTTTTTATTGGGTATTCAGAGGTCATTTTAGATACTGTATGGGTGTAAAAATGGATTTGTCTGAGGATAAGTTATACATAGGCAAGAAGAAATGAAGAGGTCAGAATATAAAGCTTTAGGAAAAGCTCACACCTAAAAATTTAATAGGAAACAAGGAATCTGAAAAGGAGGTATCTTAGGTCCAACTCTGTTTGCTAGAGTAAAATTTCATGACCAAAGACAATTTAAGGAAAAAGGAATTTGTTGGTGTTTTATGATGAAAGACAGAGAGAGAGAGAGAGAGAGAGAGAGGAAAAAGAGAGAGAGTATAGTAGCAGGTAGCCAGAACAAGAAGTAGAGAGAGCAAATTTGAACTAGAGTGAGGGAATAAACTCTCAGAGCTCACCTCTGGTGCCATGCTTCCTCCTGAGAGGCTGCACTACCTCCCCAAATAGCACCACTGACTGGAGACCCTGTATTCAAATACCCAAGCCTATGGGGACATTTCTCATCCAAGCAGTCACAGGAGGCAAGGGAGAGTCAATCTCAAAGTTGGAAAAAGAGCCAGGTAGGTTGAGAACATGTCAATATGTTTCCAAGGTTAACTATTCACGCAAGAGGGAAAGGAAGGCCATGGGTGACCTTTACAGAGACTTTGCAGCAGAGCGAGTAAGGCCTTTGCCTGAGAGCGTGAGAAGGTCAGACAGAGGGTGATGAGAATGCTCTAGAGCAGTCTGCAGAGCTCGGCGTGAAGTGCTGCGCTGAAGGGCTTGGCATGGAAACAGACAGAACCTTTCAGAGAAATGAAAGCTACTTAAACCCCTCCCCATAGCTCCCTACCCATCACATCTTTCGAAAGATGCTGATAAAAACAGAGAAAGAAAGAAAGAAAGAAAGAAAGAAAGAAAGAAAGAAAGAAAGAAAGAAAGAAAGAAAAAGAAGAAAGAAAGGAAAAGAAAATAAAATTCCCGACAACAACAAACCCAGATCGTAGAGGGAGGGCAATTCCACGGTGACTTGGGTGACTTGACAAGAGAGAGACTAACTGGAAATTCTCTGCCTTTTGAAGAGAGAAGCCAGAACCTATTCTCATAATGGTGCCACAAATCTGGGGACCTGCTGACCCAAGTTCCTTCTTTCCTTGCTATTGGCTCACGCTGTTCATAAAACAGAGTCGGCCGTTTCACTTTTGTTTCATATGAGCAAGCTGTGTTTACATGTGGGAGACAGCCAGGAGGAGTCAGGGCAGAGCCAAACTGCCAGAGCCAGAGCAGCTGAAAGGCAGAACCCACAGGTAGGTTTTTCACTTTTGTTAATTTGTTGCTCAGAATTGTGCTTTGACTGTTCTTAAGGGAATAGCGTGTGGAAAGTAAGCTTAACTTGTTCAGCTCTCAGCGTTTGTTCTACTACGTTTTGGGAACTGAAAAAAAAAAAAAAAGAAATACAAAGTAATGTGGAAGGAAGAAAACATCATCACAAGATAGACTTACTTGACTGGCTGGCAGTTGTTGGTTTTTCCTTCTTTTTTCTTTGTAGTTGTCTTTGCGTATTATTTTAGCTTACTTTCATAGTTGTTTCGATAAAATAAGGACAAGTTTATATTCGTTCCTTCCTTTAAAATTTGTGCTTTATCCATGCTGTCATGATTTCTGCAGAATCATAATTATAAATTGCCGTATAAGGCACTAAAATTTGCCCTGTTTGGGGGCCAGATAGAGTCTTTCCTATTTTGCGTAAATGGGGTCACTTAATTCCATAAGACCTTTTCCTACTCAGAAGTCTTGCTTTCGGAAGAGAGAAGATTCTCTTTGAGAAGGTTGTAGTTCAGCGCTGTGGCTCAGAGGTGCAATGAGAAGGAAAGTGTGTGCAGGGCTGTGTGCGCAGAATTGGTTTGTTTTGGAGCACCTATCAGCGTTTTTCAGCCTGCGATGCACCGTACTCAGGATCACTTACCCCTCAGGAGAGAGGAAAACAACCCCTCAAATAACCAAAAACCGATGTTCTGGTATCATCCAGTATTTAATGTGTTTTGTTTGCTGTTCTCTCCCAGGTGATGTTAATGAGTGGCCAGTTTAAAAAAAAAATAAGTTTTTGAAATACTTCTTAGTCTGTAACACATACCTGAGAATAATATGAACGAAGAAATGAGAAGATACAATTAAAGGCGAGTCTCTCCTTAACTATGTAAATAATTGAAGTCAGAGAGTTGATTTGTGGGGCATATAAGAATTTTAGACATTTCTGTCGTCCATCTCAACCACTTCAACTCCTGACCTGAGACCTGCTTGAAAACTTCAGTTAATCAACGCTTTAAGGAAACACACTTGTTTCCGTGGATTGGGAAGGTAGAAGCTAGAGAAGTTGAAACTCTAGAAGGTTCTAAATATGTAAACATTAAGTTCAGTGTGTGAGTATACCTGCCAAAGCTGTCATATTTTCTTTCTTTTCTAACCTTTCAAGGTCATTCAAGAGATGGACATTTAGAGTCTGGCCAGTCACAAATATACCACAGGTATATATATATACCACAGGCTAAGACAGGATCTAATAGCTTACCCCACTTTCCAAGAGAAATTATTTTCATTGGATCCATGTCCCTCTAAGAAAAAAAATTACCGAATTTATATCAAAATTGTTCCTGGTTTCTCCCCTCAGAAAGAATAGACAGACAAAAGGCAAATAACATAGGTTGAATCAGTCTTGGCTCAGTTCTAAGCTTCCCAGAGGAATAGACTTGAACTTAGTTTGATCAACAGTATGTCAAACAAATTTCCTCTTGTTTTCATTCCATGGAGAAGAGTGTCTGTTTAACATCTTTGATGAGCATAAGCATTTATGTATTACGTTACTATGTGGAAACATGTTTTCATATATCTGTTCATTTGATCTGCACAACAACCTTTATAGAGTGTATATTTCTCACTTGAGAGATGGCAAAATGAAGCCCTGGATCATAGGATATTTCTGAAGGTAGAACCATATTGGTGAGCCCAGACTACATGGCTATGTTCTTACAACCCAAATAATAACTCTTTTATGAAGTTGATTAAATAAGTTTTGTTATACCTATATGCTATTAGCTAGTTAAATGATGTCATTGATATTATATCAGTTGGGGGGAAAAAAAAGAGATGGCCATGCCTCAGTGACAAGAAAAAGCAGGCTACAAAACAGCAGTGTAATACACACCCTCTTTTGTTCAAAACAGTTAACTGTATTTGGAGAAAGAGAAAAAGAAGTGTATGTACAGACTTTTCTTGTTGGTAAAATTTGTCATTTACTCATGAGTCAGCTTATTATTTTTTCCACCTTAAATTAATATAACCCACATAACAAGAACAAAATGTAAATCAAATAGAACTGAATAGAATTGGTTGTGCCCGTCTGGTTAATTCTCCAGATAAAATGGACCCAACTCTTTTTTCCAGCCAACTGGCATTGAGTTCTGAGTTTTGTCCAAGACCATCACATGTGTTGTGGTTGTGGCTTGTAGACTAACCACTTTGTGTGTTAGGAACTAAGCTGATCAGGCCACTCCATTTTCTTTATTTATTCTCATTCCTCTCAGCAGATGAGGGTTTTGAAGTTCAGAGAGATGAAATAATATGACTGAGAAGCAGAGCCGAGACTTGAACTTGAGTCCGTTCTAACTCTACCTACCTTAGGCCTAAGGGGAGCTCTCTCCACTAAGCCGGTTTGTGGACAAAGGATGATGGGACTCTTTCTTTAGTGTCAGAATCCCCCTCGAAAACTGTTAATACTTAGCACCTCCTGTGAACTACAGACTCAGGGATGCATCCTGCTTTTCTTGTTTGTCCTGAACAGCAGGTATCAAAGACATGCTGGTCCCTCAAACTAAGTTTATAGGAGAAGAGACTCATAAGGGATCATGCAGCTCAGAACTTTGGCTAATGCAGCAGCAGCAGTAGCAGCAGCAAGCTGGATAACACAGAGGAAGCTAAGCATTTTGCTGTGATTGCTCGTCTTTGCTGGAGAGCCTGCTGAAACCCGCTGTACCGTGCATGCATTTCTCAGCACATGGACTACTGAGTGATTTATGTGTTCTCGTCCACGGCACTACATAAAGAGTCTGAAGATGGAGTCTTTGCATTACACTCAGTACATGGGACTCCACTGAGGAAAATGGGCTGGGTGTGGACTGCAGTCACAGCTTGTACTCATCACTGTTAACCTTTACTTACTAACTTCAATTCATTGACCCATGGAGAAAATGTAGTATTTGATGATATCTAAAGGAAAACTCCCATTGGATTGATCACATGATGGTAGTATGGGCTGGTTTGTTTGACCTGAGGGGTCCATGAGGAGTGTTAGCAGAGAATGAACCCCCAAACTCAAAGGTCTGTAGGAAGAGACAATCCAGAGAGCAGAACCTTTTCTATCTTTAGTATGAAGCTTAAGGTCCTCAGGGGGGACAAAGTGGGTATAGTGGGCTGGGGTGTGGTTTGGTTTGTATAATGCTTTCTTAGAATGCAGGGAGCTGGGAGTTTGACCCTTAGTGTCGCATAAACTGGGTTGTGGTGGAGCAGTGCCCCTTCAGGCCACGCTCAGAAGGAGGATCAGAAGTTCTAGGTGGTCTTTGGCCTGGGCAAGTTGAAACACTGTCTCAAAACAGATAGATAAACAAACAGGTTGGGAACCAGAAGAGGGTCAAGAAGGGAAGGGAGAGAAGAGGGAGACAGAGGGGAGAATGTCCATATTGGAAACTTAAATAAATATTAATTAAACTGAGAAAATGTAAGAGTTTAATCTAGAATTAATTGTTCTATTGTTATACAACCATGAAAAAAAAAAGACTTTTCCACATAAGTCTCCAATGAGCTGGTAGAGGCCACCTCTTCTGCACCCTGTTACAGAGAATGGTCTCTTCACCGTACTCCATATTTTGGCTTTACAGGAACTCTGCTGCTGGTTGGAAATGGCTCATGTTGCTAATTCCAACAGGCCAAGATCTCTGTCTGGGATCTTGTCTACACAGAATCAGAAGATAATTTGTTAGCCTGGGAGCAACAGCATCAGTGTCTACAATGCATTGGGCCCTACCCCAGTGTCCATCACCTTAGGTTCTTGTTTCCCCTTGGACAGTGTTGGGAATTGAATGCATGACCTCACACATACTTGGCTAGTGCTCTGCCACTGAGCCAGAGTCCAGCCCTCCTGACTTTGCATTCTTATTCACAGATCTTTGACCTGAATCATGAAAAAAAAAATTTTTTTTAATAAGGAAAAAACACACTAACAGCATCTCATTGCAAAAAGAAACTTGGACTCTACCCCTTCTCCCTAGATCTTTATTGGGAGATATAAAATGAGCAAGCAATGGCTCACAGGTCATCTATCTGGGTATGTTTGTGTGTCTCCTTTTGGGGTAGGCCTACAGAGGGACTAGAGCAGGCCCTCTGGTGACTGGATACAAAACAGGCTGCTGCGACCCTTTGGGATAACTGCAAAGATGAGAAGTCTCTGCAGTCCAGGCAGCCAAGACTTGGAGGTTTAGAGAACTCTCCTCTGTCTGTGTGAAAGAAATGATGTTCAGACAAGAATTTGAGATTGGGTAAACCACTCAGAGTACATGCCCACAAGAGAGTTTTCTCCCTTTTCCTTCTGTCCTTTCTCCTCCTTTTCTGGTCTTCCTCTCCTTTCCCCTCTCTCGCCTTCCCCTTTTCTCTTTTTCCCTGCTCTTCCTCCTCCTCTGTACTGACCCCCTCCCCATGCCAGTTAAGCAGTCAACCTGTGCACCATAGCATTCTCTCACATGAAATTTGCTGATCTTCTGCCTTTCGCCTCGGGAGTCAGACCATTCAGTAAGTGAGACTCAATGCAGAATAATTCAGCAGCCTTCCTTAGGCTGGGCACTAATGGCACTCCCTTAATGCGCCGCTGATGGAGTGGGTCAGAAAACAAGAAAGTTGAGGCTTCAGAAATGTACTATCAGTGTGTGTGTGTATGTGTGTGTGTGTGTGTGTGTGTGTGTGTGTGTTTTCTGGAAAAGAAATGAAAAGAACAGCTATTGTTTTTTTTTTTCTGTTATTGAAAATGGGTTCTTTTCTCACACAATATATCCAGATTATGATTTCCCTTTCTTCTGCTCCTCCCAGTCCCTTCCCGTCTCTATTTCCTTCCGAGTCCACTCCCTTTCTGTAAGAGTAGCTATTGTTAAAGTGCCAACACAGGATGGATAATTATGGGATATCACATTTTGGGCAGATGTATCCTAATTGCATTTTTCCACCCGTGCAGATATTTTTAAGTTTATAACTTTATTACATTTAT